GCCGGGCAGGTTGCTTTACCGGCTGGGAGACCGTGTCCTGGAGGTGGCCGATCCCGGCCAGGGCTGGGATGCGCAGTGCCGGGTCGGTGTGATCGCTGTGCTGCTGTGAGGGTTGCTCCGTAGCACAGCTGAGACGTTTTTTAAAGCCCAGAATGAGCTGGCTGGAAGAAACCGTTTGCTCTGCGTGTTGTGTTGTTCCCACGTGCGCCAGGCGATCGCGCAGGCAGCGTAGTCATCGCTTCGCAGTCAGGCAGGAGAAGTCACCTGTTAACAACAGCGAATTAGGCACAGCAGGGACATCGCCGCGATGTCAGCTGAACGTGGACTTGGGCGCAAGTAAGAGTCGAGTCCCTCAGCTAATTGCAGGCAAAGTCAGTGTTTTCAAGAAAAGACTTTTTGGTGTTCCCTGAAGCAGCAGCAGGTTTAAGTCAGGGTTCCGGAGCTGCAAGCGGTGTCCCCGTAACGCTGCCCTGGGCTGGGCTGTGCCGGGGGCTCTGCAGAGCGGGCCCAGAGCCTGCAGGGCTGCGTGCCCGGGCGCTGGTGTGAACGCTGAAGTGCTTGCTTCGCTTTGATTCTTACTGACGTCAGCGGTGATGTACTGAGGTTTTACTAAAGGATCAGGTGATAACGAAGAACAAGTTATTGAAAAAAGGGCTATTATATGCACACCAACTTCTGTGGAATTATTGGGCATCTCTTCTGTTTCTGGACTGATGTGGAAATACTAAAATCACGACTCTGTGATACAGCAGGGACAGGTTCTAGTCTGTCATCTTCACCTTCAGAGCTTGCTGAATGCATCAAGCCATGCCTATTTAAGTTTTGGGGTTTTGTATTTTTTTCAAATGACAGTTTATCTGAGCTCACGGAATGAATGGATAACGTTACTATTTACATAAGCTCATTGTGATCTGTCTCGGTAATGTAATCAAATTAGGGTTAACTGCAGCTGGAGAATGCCAGCTTGTAAACTGTTTTTCAAAAAGAATCACATGGTGTTACTTGACATGTTTAGTATACATTCAGGAGGCTTTGCAAAAATTATAGCACATCCCTAAGTAATGTAACGAAGTCCGGACTGTGTTGCCACCAGGTCGCTGAATCCAGGAACTGAAACGCCGTGCAGCTCGGCAGCAGCCGGAGGAGAGACACCTCCAGCCCCATCCCTGAAGCACCAGTTTTTCTGACGTGGCTGCTGCTGACACGTTGTCTTTCTTTTGGCTAAAATCAACATATCAGTTGATAGAAAAAGCATATGGTGTAAATTCTGAGTACATTTAAGAACATCTGTGTTAGCTGCAAAAGTGCAGCCCACTGTACACGTCAAGCACTATATTTAGTCTTATGGCATTCGCGTAAGATGAAGTCCAGCCTGAGCTAAAATTACCCAATGAGTAGATTTTCAAAGTATCTTTTGTTATTCTTATTCATAAACACCGCATCTGGTACTTACTTTCCCTCCTTCTCCCTTTCTCCTGTGATTAGGAGGCACTGTTGACATCACAGTGTTGCAGTCATCAGGTTCTGCTGCTGCTGCCGAGCTCGATCTCGCGGGGCAGTCCCTGCCCCTCGGCGGGGCCCCGCCTGCCGGCCCCGACCGCTGCCTTTCCGTCCCTCTCGGAAGCGGCTGGCAGGCAGTTTTCATTCCAGACCCGGAACGCAGAAGTAGTTTGAAATTTCCTCCACAGCCCGGGAAGGTTTCTGCAGGCTCTGTCGGAGCCCTGGCGGCGTTTGGCCGCGGGAGGTTTTGGGTTCTGTCCTGTGCCCCTGCGCGCCCACGAGACACACCACACCCCGCCAAACACCGCAACCGTTTCGGCATCAGGCTGGCAGCCCCTTCTACTGGCACGGCAGACAGGGAATGTGGGACATTGCGGCTGTGGGCCGTGCCCAGGGTGATGCAGCAAGTCTGTGGCAGAACGTGGTCCCATACTGTTGCATTTTGGACATATTCGTATGTCTCTCTTAAAGTCCAGTGTAAAGGAAGGATGGAGAATATAATCTAAAAAGGGTTCCTGGTCTCCCACTACTGCTTAAATACCTTTTCCCACTCGTAAATGTTCTGATAATTTGAGTGTGGAGATGGTTCCATCGGAATTAAAATTCTTCATGAGATCGGAGTTTGTCTCCCCAGAAGTTCTGTAGTAGAAGGAAACTGAAAAAATACTTCACCTTGTCAAAATTCAGCCATGTTGTAGTGTTCTGAGTGAACGGTTAGATCAACAGCCACTGATGCTTTTCTGTAGAAGTACCACTTTTGACTATGTATGAAATACTTTTTTGCAGAAATTCTGTTCTCTAAGAATTTTGAAATTTGGGATCTGCTATGAATTGAAGGGGAAAAAAAATAAATACAGTTTGAGAAACAGAACTTGTCCCTTGAGCGCAGATCTATCCAAACCAACAAAAGGAAGCTTGTGTTGGCATTTAGATTCAGACTCAGGAATTCCTGACTCTTAAGCCTGTTTATACAGGACTATACCACAGCCCAATTTGCACTTCATTTTGATTTTTTTTCCCCTCCACGTTTATGGTCATGTTGAACGGGTGGATTATGCACTCTGAATGCACATACTTAACCAATTGTATTTAAAGATTTTTTGCATATAATAATTATAGTTAAGTGTCTTCATTTGGAAGCAGCAGTGTTCCATGAAGGCTTTTAAGTCATTTAGCGTAGCCATATTTCTGTTACAGCTCTGCAGGTTTCATGGCCTGGTTCTCAAAAGGCTTTTGAGGGTCGCTGCTTCCCAGTGAAAGTAGCGGGAGCTGTGGGTGCTCTGCACTTGAGAAGCGTCAGCGGTGCCCCAGCAACCTGGTGACACGCGCTGCTGACTGCGCAGGGCAGATATTTAACTCTCAGTAATTCAGGGGGAGATTTCAGCGTGTGTATGGGCACACACCAGTGCAGGAACACACAGATTTTTATTGCTCTGGTATTCACCTCTTGGTCCTATTTGCTTTCAGCTACTTTCTAAACCGCAGTTTCAGTATCTATTAGAGCTGTTGTAAAATACAGAATGGCTTAGGATTCTTGCTATTTCAAACATGACACGTTGTTATTACAGCTGAGCTTGGAGATATTTGCCAACATTTTTGAAATTTGTAAGTTGGTCGATCTCACCTGGGCATGGTGAAAGGGCTCCAAGAACTCTGTGCCAAATCCCCAGCTGCTGAAAAGCAACAGAGCCTCCTTGATTCTGTCAGAAACAAGTCAGCTCACACCAAGAGAGGACTTGACCTGTTCTCATTTTATCTTGGGTTTCCTTGCATTTTGATCTCTGTTCCTCGGAGCTTTTTTCCGTTCTTCTTTGGTAGCGAGAGTACATTGCTTGGGCCTGGAAGCCCTGAGTACCTTCACCCCACCCTGGCCCTTGAGTACATGTTTAACCTTAGACATCCGAGATCCCTGCTGGGGTCAGCGAAATGACTGAGATGCTGGGAGTGCGGCTGTGCTGGTAGCGTCTGCCTATGCTGCTGGGGCTGGCCGGGGCGATAGAAAGTTGAGGCACTTGACCTCCTGGAATGCTTGCTGACCTGGATCTAATCTGAGGTAGAGCACCGCAGCCTTTCAATGCCTTGTATCCCCACACCTCTCTGGGAGGACGAGTTCGAGAGCTTCCTGGGCAGCTGCTGGAAGCACTGAGGTGCTGGAGCATCCTTTGGGCAGTGCTGGCCATTGGGATGAGCTGCTGGAAGCACTGAGGTGCTGGAGCATCCCTTGGGCAGTGCCGGCTGTTGGGGTGAGCTGACGGGTACATGTTTAACCTTAGACATCCGAGATCCCTGCTGGGGTCAGCGAAATGACTGAGATGCTGGGAGTGCGGCTGTGCTGGTAGCGTCTGCCTATGCTGCTGGGGCTGGCCGGGGCGATAGAAAGTTGAGGCACTTGACCTCCTGGAATGCTTGCTGACCTGGATCTAATCTGAGGTAGAGCACCACAGCCTTTCAATGCCTTGTATCCCCACACCTCTCTGGGAGGACGAGTTCGAGAGCTTCCTGGGCAGCTGCTGGAAGCACTGAGGTGCTGGAGCATCCCTTGGGCGGTGCCGGCCGTTGGGATGAGCTGCTGGAAGCACTGAGGTGCCGGAGCATCCCACGAGCGGTGCCGGCTGTTGGGATGAGCTGCCAGTGTGCTGGGGAGCTCTGGGCTGAGCACCTGGCTGCTGGATGCGAGCGTGTTCGTGTTCGAGGGGCAGAAGGTGCCACCGGCGTCGCAGGGGGATGCCGGGAGCGCAGCTGTCACTGGGCCTGTCCCCATCCCTTTTTCCTGCCCTGCCAGCCAGCTTCGGTCGCCCGCTCCCCAGGGACTCGCCTTTGGAGAGCCCACAGGTCTCCATCTGCTTAGTGCCCATACCCTACATCGCCTGCAGTTTGGGACAGAAACACGTGGTCTTGTCAGCTAAAGAAATTATTTACAGAAGATGAAGAAAACCTTAAGATATGTGGGAGAATATGACTAACTGTGTAATCTCTATATATACCTATAGATATAGAATATAACAGTCTGACTTCCAAAACATCTGCGTTGCTCTGTGCAGTTGAGAGCTTTGGCCTTTAAATATAATAATAACAAGCATCATCATCATTTTTATATTTTACAGCGTTCTTAGTTGCAATTCAACTTAATTTTTTTCCTATTTTGTTTTTTTCGTAGCAAATACTGACTGATCCCGAGGTGACCTCCCAAGAGGGCAATATAAAAAAGGTAGGATGTGGATCAATCTTAGGCAAGTTGTTTTACTGTCTGCCTTTGAAATACACCTAGACTCTTTTTTCTCTTCTACTTTTGAACAAAGGTGTGTATCGCAATAATGTCGTCAAAGTTTTCCAATATTTGCTGTTGCTTTTTTGGATTAAGTATTGTGGTTCTATTGGCATATTTTCCTGCCTTTCCGTGATTCCAGTATTTATGCAAAAGGAAATAATAGTTTGAAGTGTTCCTTGATGCATCTACCAGTCCAAAAACCTCATTTACCTCTTTTCCAGTTAAAGAAAATGTTGGTTCTTTGTTAAAAGTGCTAAATTTTTAGAGGTCACTTCACCATGTAAATGTGGCTTTGTGAAGTCCAAGGCAAAGGAAATAGATATATGAAAGGATAAAATTTAACTCATATGATGTATTACCGGTGCTTTTCATCACATTGAGATGCTTAAACTATAATACTGACCAGAGAAAAATGTGTTCCAAATACAGCCCAGCTGTATAAATGTCTTCACAGTAGCTGTGAGGCAGCCTCAGCATTAGATATTTCAGTGGCCGGTCTGCTGTTCGGTTGGGGTTATTCTCGGTAACACTAAAATGACATTCTTTCCGTGGCTGTCTTTTGGTTAACGGCTTGACTTTCGTAAAGTGTGACCAGTCAGATTTGATTGTAGCCTCTCTGGATGTCCAGGGTAGTGCATTCCTGTTGAAATAATGAGCTAGCTGTAATTCTTTTCATGGGCAATTGTCTTCTAATGGGTATTCACAGTCCTATTCATAAAATGTGAGTTTTTGAAAGTAGAAAATATTTTAAATTTGAACTTGGAACAACCGCCATTTTTATTCATCCATGTAGGCGAGCGTCAATACTGTTTTTTGACTCTGAAAGCTACAAGGAAACACTTGTTTCACTCTGCCAAACAAAGTGAAATGTAATACTTGTCAGCCTCCAAAGTTAGTTTGGGACAAGATATTTAGACGCATGTCCGGTGGGATCATTCTGTTCTTACCGCGTTGAGAAAAATAAGCTTTTATTTTAGAAAGCCAGGCTACCAACATGAAGCGTCCTGTGACCATCCAATGACCTTGCGAAAGACCTATCGCAATACTGCTGAACTTTTTACCTTGTTCGTCTCCATAACTCATTTGGTGTTTGTCTCTGCCTCTGTGGGATCCTTTTGTCTGAACAGACATGGCGACAAGGTGGCAGGTTCTTATTAGCACAACGCACTTATCACAAGGATGGAGTAAATTCTCTGTGGCTCAGGACTGCTCAGCTATTTCTTTCTCGGTCTTTAATTACAATATCACAAATAAATTCTGCAGCCCAGTCTGCGTTACCCTAAAGAGAGCAGGCTTTGTATGGAACAAGGGTAGAAGGCAACGTTAAGCTGGCAGCTTTATATTTTCAATACGGGCGTTTGTATTTAAGCTTCATCACTTTTATTTCAAAGGGGAATGTTGCAAAAACTACAGGTCTTTGAAAAATACCGTGCATTTAAATATTTTCCTGTACAGCAGGTATAAAACCGGACAATTATGATATTTGACAAGAGGGGAAGGACTGGCCTTCCACTTCTGTCTTTTAAATGCATTGTAGAGAAGCACTAGTGGGAGTTTATGAGGTGATAAATTTATTGAAGGATGGGCAGTAGGGTTTTACAGCTAGGGTAAAAAAGGTCAAAGCAGTAAGGTAAAGAGTTCAAGTCTAAACTTTATGGCTTGTGAAAAGACTACTGCTAGACAGCTTTTCAGTCAGAAGAAAATGAAAAATAAAGAATGAAAAATCATTCTGTACCATTTTTGTAGTATCTTAAAATTATTTGTAAGTAATACTCCAGCATTTTCCTCCAGTGGTACAAAACCCTCTTGGGAGAAGATTTCCTTTTCCACCCTCTCTAAATCATTCAGTTGTCATATCCCTGAAGACACAATAGTTGAGATTTGACTTCAATTTATTCCTGTTCCTTCAGAGATAAGTTGGTGGTGAGAAGGTGACTGAAGACAAATGTAACTGTAGTGGGTGGGCTAATTTAAACTAGGGGGAAAGGAAGCCGGAGCCAAACAGAGGGACCATAATTTTCAGTGGCTCATTTGGCTGACTGCTGTATCAGGTTCAGAATTGGGTAGTAACAGGGACTAGAAAGAGAAAAAAATCTCTAGAATGAAGAGAAAATCTGTTAAAAACAGTAAAAAAAAATAGAGGGAAGGGAAGCATGATAGCAGTGAGAAGTATAGAAAGATGCACAGGAAACAATCTCTGCTTAAAAACTGATCACAGTACTGTTTCTGCTCTTAGGCTGCCAGAAAAAAAAGTTCTGTTATATAACTTTTAAGAAATTAAAAGGTAGTGAGAAGTCTGAAGACATAGCATAGCAGAAACTATTATTATATTATATGATAAAGCAGTCCCTTTTTTGGCTTGGAGCAAAATAAGACGTATTTTCCCACTATGTCCAGTATTTTTTGGTTTGTGTTACTGTTATTTCTGCTGGGACCACTAACACCAGAGAGCTGATTTGTTTGTTAGTGGCTGTCTCACAAGAATTAAGATTTCTGGCAAGGTTATTAAAGGACCTATATGCAGGACCATTATTCTGTATCTGGAATGGTGCTGTGCCATAGACTAAAACGTGTTGTACTCCTATGAAGTTTTCCTTTTATCTACTTTGCTTGCTGATACTTAGTTTAACTTGCAGAAATATATATCAGCTCCTCATCCTGTTTAATTTTAAATAATCCATTGTGAAAGTAATGCTAAAATAGGAGATTCACTTTTTTTAGTGAACTGAGTGCATATGTTCAGAGACGTGCTCAAATACGTACGTTTACCTGTGGGTACATTGTCCGGTGTTCCCAAATGTCTTTTTTTCCAAGCCACCTTCCTGCAGTCTGTTTATTTTGCTTAGAGAGCAGCTCACATGTTCTATTGCTCCGAATTTTTTAAGCTTCTCCACTGCATTTAATGCACTGAAAAAAATGGCTTGTTATCATTATCTCCGTTGTCATTTTGATTTAACTTTGAGAGGGAGATGAAAGATTTCGACTTCCTCCGGCAGGAAGCAGGGCCAGTGTCCGTTACAAGACACCTTTTTTCCCAAGGAGCAATGCTAGGTGTATTTCTCTCTCCTCTGAAAATCACTTTGGCTGATGGTTTGAGGATCCTGCTG